CGCTTTCTGCATATAATTCAATAATGTTTGGATTTAAAGTTCATCTGTTTCAACTGGCACCTTTAAAAACACCGAATAATCTTCCTACAGCCGCTTCGAAGAAATAACTATTCGAGTAACTGTAATTTCGGAAAACAATTTTCTTATTTGCTGGGTTAGGAATATTGCCCGATTTTTGGAAACGGATTGCTCTTTTTCTGGGAAATGTTTTTCTTTTGTAAGATTTTTGAAGTATAATTTTTTCGAACATTTATAGACCCTCTTTTCTTAAAGTTTCAAGTTTTTAACCTAATATATTTTTAGCGCCCATTGTACAGTTTTCGTTTTTCTTTTAGACGGTTTTAAATATACACCAATCTATGAATACATCTAAGTAGGTTGTTGATTGCAAAATTTGGGTGCTCGATTCTCAATACCATAGAAACGATAACCACGTTTGCCAGAATAAAGCAACAAAGACCAAACTGACGAAATACAAGCCCGTCGGTCGGGCAAAGGTATCATCAATAAGTTAGGTAAGGTTATAGTGGTTACCCCAAGGGAAGCACTTGGACCATTAAGAGATTGTCCTTCGTGATACCACGAGAACTAAATAAACAGAGACCAATTTTCCTTGTCTAGTCGGCGAAATTCTGCGACCCGATTACGTACTTACGAATACGGCTAATTTCAATTCCTGAGAGTTCTCCAGGGTTAGTCAGAAAGTGCGAGCCAAAATGTTCCCATCTTAGCCTCGCAAAGGCTGGGTAGTCTAGAAGAAAATATTGGAAAAGGATCAGTTAAGATTAAGAGCGTGATATTATAAGGCTCTTCAAACATAAAATCCTCCAGAATGCCAGGAGGATCTTGCAATTGCGCATGTCCTAGTTTCAGCCCAACGCTCGCTGAGTTTACATGAGGCCCAACGTCCACGAGTGAACCAAAGGAGAAATGCCCCATACCTGGTAACAACGTTTGAAGGGTAGTTTTCCCTGTCAGGTCATCAGCCATGCAGTTTCCGGCAATGTCACAGTGGTCCGGCACCCAAATTACAATGACTTTGTCTACTTAGTATACATCATTAATACTGCTAATAGTATCAGCCTGAGCATCAAGCGAAGAATATTTAACGGAAGAAATCATGCTCTAATGACTCTGATTTATGGATACCACTATCCAATTCCAATGTGGAATTGCTCGCTGATTCCGAAAATCTAGTTAAATTTTTTTTCTATGGATATTTTTTCGAGATATTTTGAGATGTTTTTATATTTACCGTTATTAAGCTAAAAAAGTGGTTCCACTTCATCACATATATCTTATGAAGCAATTCGATAATCTTAATAAGAAGTATGGCAGTTAAAAGGCTACTAAAATCATCCATAAACCATGTATATAACACTTTTTTATATGCCTGATCTCTTACAAAAATTAAGCTACTATTGAAGAAAATCGATGGATAAAGAAAAAAGGGATGAGTAGTCAAGTGAAAATGCGCAAGAATATTTTGTATAAAAAATGAGCAGGAAAGAGTATACATGCCGTATGAGTAATGTTAAATAAACTATTTAATTTTGATTTCATTTAAGTCCTCCATATGAACAATATTTTTAGTTTTATCGTGCAGTGCAGAAGCATAAATACTATACGGACATCGAACTCATGAGCTTCGGGCAATGCAGGGGCTTTCCAGCAAAAATTTAGTCATGTTTAATGTATGACATTGCGATTTATTAATTAACATGTCAAAGCATGTCTCTGAGAATACTGAATATTCGCTTAGCTGCATTCAGTACAGCTGCACTTTTCCAATTTTGTCGTGAAGGAAACTTTACCTGAAAGTTTTTCCTGAAATCTATCGTAAGAGATCTGTATATAAATATAGTGCTTTTCATAACTTTACGACACTCACATTTTGATACGATTTGATCATTTGTCTTAATATTTTTTAATAATAGTTATTTGTTTATAAAAGTATAGCGCTGACTTAGAGTGAAGAGTTGCTAAGTCCACTTTTTATGAAAACTCATATTTTGATACAGGAGGCTAGAGAAATTGAAAATGCATCATTTCGTAAAGGATAAACGTCTTTATTTTATGTTTTCTCGTTTATAATCAATGACAGGAAAATTTGCTAAGTCCAAAAAATGTTCAGAAAATTCGATAAGCCCAAAATAGTACAAAGTCTTTTACTAAAGATCGAATCCCTCTGATTCGTATGGAGTTTTGCTTTGCTTTAAACAGGCAAAATGTTGTATTCAAAGTTTTGCGAAATATTTGAAGAAAATAGATAAAAGAACTTATTTTCCTCTCATGTACAATTTTTAAATTGGGAGTTAGCAACTTTTCACTCTAAGCTAGCGATAGTATATTTGTGTGAAAATTAAAACAAATCAACAAACTTTCGTAAAAATTTCGAGCTTTGTAAGAGCAAGTTTGGGATGGCTATAAGATGCCGTTAATTTTCGAATTTTTTTTTGTTGAAGGTGTTGCTCGTTTTCTCCATGTAAAAAAAAAACAAACTAGCTGGCTTTACTTTCATTTGTAATATACTTGTATATGAAACTTAACTTGAATTCGACTTTTTAAACAGGTTTCAGCCCTCCTAAACAAAGTTTAGAAATTAATTCAATTAACTTATTAAATTATTTAAACGTTTTTAAACAGGTGACAACCCTCTTCAGCCATGCTGTGATACATATGCACATTCAATTCAATATGCATATTTCAATTACCTAATTCTCTTAATTCAAATTTTATTTAATTTTATAGACAGGTGGAAACCCGAATACATGTAGTTTAGAAATGGGGCCTTTCTAAAACGATTTCGATTGAGACTCATATTGTAGTAATTCATTTACCTTATTTGAATCAGGTGGCAATCCTCTTGCGATATTTGATTTATCCTATCCATTTAATATAATTAAATTTTTTAACAGGTGGCAACTCTCTTTAGACCTAGCCACCTTTTCCTCACCGAGACGAACACGTAGGCATCCGCTTTCTACAATCGGACCACTAAAATGTAAAACAGCTCAACCTTTAGCCTTCAACCTCTAAAGGGAAGTTTTACAAAAGAAAGTTTTTTCAACATGAAATCTTAATAAAATTAGAATAAAAAGAAATATATTGTGTTACTGTAAAAAGGCCCATGTCTCATATTTTCTAAACTAGATTTGATACTGAAATTTAAATCACAGCTTTGAAATTGTCCTTAAAATTAGGCTAGTATCATGTAGCATCACCCAATCATCAGAAATGGCGTTGTGCGGTGTGAAAGATATGAGTATACTCGTAAAGTATTGGTCATATTTTACAAGTTCCATCATTCACTATCGTAAATTTTGATCGCCAAAAATCTCCAAAAGAATATCACGTGTACTTAATAACATGCAACAATTACTCACAAGCCCCTCATACTGCTAGATTTGGCATTGCATCTGTTACTTTTCCATGTTGTATATTTCACTGCTTTCTTTAGAGATTCTGTTCTCTCGTATCGATGTGATTGTCAGTAGTGCAGCCAGATCCCATCATTTGCTATCGCTAATTTTGATTACCAAAAATCTCCAAAAGAATTTCAGGCGCGCCTAACAGCACGCCACATTCGCTTACATGCCCATCATACTGCCAGATTTAGGGACAGTTTTTCAGTACCAGTTTAAACTTAGTTTAAGTAAACTGAGTTTAAATTAAACAGCTGGCTGACATTTGATTGGCTGATCGTAGTTTAAACCAGCCAAGATCGGGCGTTTAAACTGAGTTTAAACCACGACCGTGCACTGAAAAACTGGCCCTTGGCAGATTAGCCATCGCAGCTATTACTTTTCCCTGTAGTATACTTTTAGGCTCCACTGCTTTTCATTTAGAGAATTTTGGCGACGGAAATTTAACGTAGCGACTGTCAGAATTACACTGCTGATCACAAGTCGCCAAGTGGTTGGCCAAACTAAGTACATTATCTCTTTTGTGCTATTTATTTAAACTAAATATTATCTATTTAGGATATTGGGTTTGAAAATGATTTTGGATTTACCATAGATATATGTTGATATAACTTTTTATTAAAAATGCTCAAATATATTTATATCATTGTGGTGTAATTTTTAATTTCAAACCAATAATCTTTATTAGACCAACTAAAAACTGCTTGCATATATGCAATGAAAAAGTTGAAAAAACGTCCTTTGTAAAAATACAAACCGTGGAAGTTTCCATACACTTAACTTTATACAAGCCAACTTTTGTTTTTGTTTTTTTTTTAATGCAAAAAATACCACACTGATTATGCACTGATTACATATTCTCAGCGCATGCTAGTCAAAGCATACAAATTACATTTTCATGCAGAGAAAATGAATTGAGTCAAGTCACTTGAATAGCAATTTCGCAAATACGGCGGGGAAGAAGCAGAAAAGAACCTAAGTATACAACAAAATGAGCTTGTTTTGTCTATTTTCGAGATTGCGGATTTGTGTTTTTATGGTGTCTGGTTGTTTGTGAGAACAATGTGAATTGCGTATTTGAATTTTTACGAATCATCCTGCGAACTCATTTTCATTAGCATTATGCGCTTCATTAAACGGAAAGAGTAATGCAGCAGAATTACACTCAACCATACCAGCAGCAACGATTAAAATGATACAGTTAATTTAAGAGGAATGAGAAAAAGTGCGCAAAAAGGCATCAAGAAAAGTTTGTAAAAACTCAAATTGGTTTAGAATCAAGGTGTGCCGCTTGTGGCTATTATCTTAGGCTAAAACTGAAAGTGAGATTTGGTTAAGATTCTCTTTTTCTTGAAAAACAAAAAAAAAGACAAAAGTTAGCGGCTGTTGTCTTGTAAGCTTAAGCCCGAAAAGACATTGATTGATGCGGTTTTTGCATTTTTTTAGCTCTTTTGCTTTTTATTGACCACAACTCTCTGTTGCGACTGTTAGTGCTAGATATATTTCAAAAACCCACTTCAAAAAATTAGCCTATAAAAATTGCTAACAATTCTTCAATTGCAAACTGAATGAAAAATGAGTATCTGCACTGAGAAAATTGCTATTTTCCCATCACACGGCATCTGGTCATCGAACCGCTCCCACAGCACAGCGCGCGCCGTCGTCGGCTTTCAAAAAGAGTAGAAAAACCAGCGTAGCAACACAATAGAGGCCGCAACATCATACATCAGACATTTTTCTGCCACAACAATTAAACATAGAAACATAGTCGTCAGCAGAAGGCTTAACTTTCACTACATTGCTGGCAAAAAGTCAAAAGTCGATCACACTCAAACAACGCCCACAACCACACTCACAGTTATCTACATATATACAGCCATATTCAAACTCGCATTTGATTTACCTACACAATAAAAATTCTCCTCCTTTGCAATTTATTCCGACCACACTTCGTGCTCTGCCTTGTTACTTCTCTTCTTATCATTTTCTCTCTATCTTTCTTTGTCTTCCACAGATATGGCCGTTGGGTGACACGACGCATCGCAATCATTACAATTGCCGCCATTTGGCTGCTGGCCGCATTTGTCTCGTTTGTGCCAATCTCTTTGGGTCTGCATCGGCCGGAGCAGCCGTTAATCGTTGAGGATAATGGAAAACGGTATCCCACGTGCGCGCTGGACCTGACGCCAACCTATGCGGTCGTCTCCAGTTGTATCAGCTTCTATTTTCCATGTCTCGTCATGATTGGCATCTACTGTAGGTAAGTAAAATGCTATACATACAAATACAGGGAATAACGATGCAGGAGATGAAGAGAGAAAAATGCAAGAATTGGAATTTAAATCACCCGTTGCTATGCTTTGAGTTCTGCCTTTCCATCTCCCATACATTGGAACACTGTAGAGTGGACTGAGACAACAAAATTGATTGCCATTTCAGTTCGTGACCAAAAAGTAATGTTGTTTTATTCTCAAAGGCGATTAATTACACAAAGTTAAACGATGTCATGGAAAAATATACTACATTTCGTGGAAGAAATAGTTTCAAGTAGGCAATAGTTTACTACAAAATTACAATAAAAATGTCTAGTATTTGCTCGTATTAAAAAAAAAATCCTCCAATAGAATTCATAGATATTTTCTGGTATAGGTAAAGACTACTGGATATGCAAATCCAGCAGAATATTTATACATATGAAGAATTTTGCTAGCTGTCAGCATGTCTCTTAGAAAAGCACGCCTATTAGCATTGCTTTTCATTCATTTTAAATACCATTGAAAAGGCACTACACTCTAAAAAATCTGTTTAAAAATGCGACTTTAAATCGAGTATATTTTTGTTTATTTTTAAAACTTTTTGGTAAGTTTACACGATGAATATATATTTTTTTCATTTACTCATTTTCGTGTGTAAAAATCCTTTTTGTTAGCGGCTTTACACCATTCTACGGGTGAAATCAAACAGCTGATGTGTATTTTGTAGCTTGTACACACTTTCGTAGTAAATCTACGTACACCAAAGCAGCTATATTACGCTCTAAAAAGTCCGAAATTTAAACAAACTATTCGTTGAACAATCAAGCATGTAATTTCGCGAATAATAAGGTAGGAAATCAGTAACCTACCTTTTGGGTAGGAAATCTACTCAATTTTTTTTAGAGTGTAGCCTATAAAGAATTTGCATTAGCTGTAATATTTGTCACCTCTCAGGGAGAAATAATACCAGAATATACATTAAAAGTGGTCTAAAAATGCATGTGAAAAAGCAAGGTCGGAATTTTAATGCTGTCACCCGTTTGAATTGTTCTATACCGAACAAATATACCCTTATTTTTATTTAGAAACCAAAAAATGTTTGGAGGTGGCTCAAGCGATTAAAGTCTTCCTTGTATGTTATATGGGAAAAAACAACTTTTCGTAGAAATGATATAGAATTCTTGAAAATCAACATTTTTCGATCTCTTCAAAAGGCTCCCAATAATAGTACCCAGTTGTTTATTTCACACCTTTTTCATAGCAACTATATTTTATAGGTCCCCCAAAAACCCCTTAATATGCAATGGAAACCCATTAAATATCGTTAGTATTAAGTATCATTATTGGAAGTCTCCTGAAGACTGTCCGAGATTTCCGATCGCAAAATATTGATTTTCAAAAATTCAATACCACTCTGACAAAGGTTTTTTTCCATATAAAATACATGGAAAACTTTGAGACCATTGACCACCCTAATATGTACACAAAGAAGATATGTTTTAGGCATGCGTATAAAAACAATATCAATGGAAATAAGGTCAATTGACACTATTTCGCATACTGGTGCGACATAAAGTCAATTGACATTATTAGATACCTTTTCAAAAGCGAAAAAAAGAAAATTTAAATAAAGTAAATGTTGATATTTCCTCATTCAAATGGGAACAGCCTCAACAATGCTTAGGGTATGGTGATTCAAAGAAAAAATGTTCTTGCATCGTACGTGAGATATGATGAATATTGTTACAATAAACATTGCCCCATAAGTGTTGTTTCCATAGATGAAACAGGTTATTGCCAAATCATCAGTGTGCTATTGATCAACACAGAATTATGCCAGTGTGCCAAAATGCGGGTATAAACAATGGTTGATTATTTTTATTATCGTTTAGCTAGACATAATGAGATAAACTTATACACATTTCTGAGATTTATCGTTTTATGAAAAGTGGCCGCTGCCACGCCCATTTTCCAAAATTTTATCATAAACGTATTTCTTGGTGAAGAATTATTGCAAGCATGAATTTTGAATAAATTATCTTTAGTATTTACTAATTTGCCGCAGATTTCTTATTTCTCTAAATAACCGTTATATGGGATGTGCGCGTGGTTATGGTCCAATTTAGAAAATTTTCTTCGATATTATATGTTGTACCAAGGCCAATAACTGCCAGGTTTGGGATAAATTGGTGTAGTGGTTACCAAGATATACATATATAAGTGGGCGTGGCTACGTCCATTTTCCAAAAATTTATAATATTCTCATTTTTCGTCTAAAAGTTATTGTAAATATCAATTTTGAGTGAAAAATTTTCAGTATCGCAGTTACCGTTATATGAAATGTAGGCGTGGTTATTGCCCAATTTTTCCCATTTTCAATACCATCCGTCCTACTCCCGAAAGAAGTTCACGTACCAAGTTTCGTTAAGGTGCCTCAATTTTTACTCGAGTTGTCGTGTCCACAGACGGACGGACGGACTGACAGTCACCGCTTAAATTGTTATGTGAGAATTGAAGTCGGCAATAACGCAAAATTTGCTTTATTTCACTTTTAATTGGGAAATAATACCAAAATCTGAGTTTTTTGCCTTATTTCCCCCTGCTTATTCATACTATTTGTAACAAAAACAGTTTACTGACAGAAGGAAAAAGAACTTTGTTTATTCCAAAAATACAATTAAACATTTATTTTTACTTATGAAAAGTTTAACAATATATAGGCAAAGCGTCGTCTTTAATAACTGCTCTGCAAATTGGACATAGCGCTTTTGTAAGTTTGTCTGCATGCTTTTTAATATGTTGGAAATATTGCTGGAAATCCTTAAAATCTTTGCATGCAGCCATGGCGCAATAAACATGTGAAGTAATAAAACAGCTTTCTCGCTTTATTTGCTGACATTCGGCTGCCTTATAGTCACAATTTATAGGCAAACTTTTAAATAAAGCAGTGTTAAAATCTTTCTTCCCACTCTAATATTACTTCACCTGGTATAATTCCATCATGGGTGCGGTGCATGCAATAACACCATACGCAATAGTTCCCATTACTTGGACATTAAAAAGCAGTTTCAGAAGTGAGCTAGTGTCATTTTATTGTTATTATTTTTTCTAAACGATTATAAAGCCATGAGTGCATAATTACGAAAGGAGGGGACAGGTGCGGGTACGCGAGCGCGACGTCAAACGCGTTTGACGTCGCGCTCGCGACGCGGCGCGCGTACGCGGACCGCCGCGACTCTTGGCACTTTCAAAATTGTAGTCTTACAAATCCGTTCATTTAACCTGTTCATGTACTACCTTTTGTCAAATGTGACTGGGTGACTACCTATGTGCACTATATATAAAGAAAATTTGTCTTATTTCATATTCAATTGGGAAATAGCACAAATTTGCGTTATTACCATTTGTGTTGTTTTACCTCCCTGAAATACAGTTCTCGAATATTTTTATGGATCTTTAGCAGATCTTTCAATTAGTCTTTCGAGAGACAGTAAAGAGCTTTTAATATATGTAGTTGCCAGAATAGACAACTGTCTTACGAAAGACTTTTGTCTTTTGCCTCCTCACTAGCAGATCTTACAATTAGTCTTTTGAAGGACTGAAAAGAGCTATCTTATGGCGCTTTCTTCCCTACAAAAAATGTTACCTTTTGAATTAGAAGGCAATATATTTCAGTAGAAAAGAAAACGCCGTTATTTTTCGAAAAAATGTGGTGGTAAAGACAGTTGCCGAAATTATCCGTTAAGAATAGACTTTTTGTATTTAGCATTTATAGTTGGCCAAGGTGTTGTGGCAATAAAAGCAGTTGACACCATTTGTCACATTTTATTGGAAATTTCTCTGAAACTTTCATTAAATAAAATCCTACATTTTTGATGAAGGATACAAAGTATATCCCTGGCTCAGCATTGCTGTACCATGGCGCGCAAGGTTCTCATCTACTACTATTATTTTCATCGTGCCAGTGAAAATGTAGATATCATTACTAGGAATTGTATCGCACTGTATCAGACAGCTATGGTCGCGTCAATAGAAAATTTGGTAGCATGTTGAAAGTTGTGGTTGCTGTTTTCTTCGTTACACTTGTTAAACATTGTCTATTTTATTGGCATTTTCCACCTAACGACTTCGTCATAAAAAAGAATTGATCTCACTAACGCAATGTAAATCTATGCGAGACTATTGGATTTCGGTCTCCAATTTTTGCTGATAGCTCTGATGCAGGAGAGTTCTACCGAGATTTATTGGCGATGTAGGCATCTAGGCAATTTTGTGCCAACTAGTGCCCCACCAGATCTCTTCCTAGCAAATTAGGCATTATTTTTTCAGCAATAGATTATTTGTATAGCTGAAAGCCTGAAAAGCGCCAAACGCCTGAAAAGCTTGTTGTGGAGTTGTATTCTAATGCATTAGGAAACCCTTTTTTCGAATGTTTTTGAAGAACATCTTTAAGCACCATACGTATTTAAAATATTTACCACGAGTACTATAGCCCCAAAAGCTGCCGCTTTATTCGTTAGTTCTATTGTTGTTAGCTTGTACATATATTTATATCTACCAGTTTGGGCGATTGTGTTTTTTATTGTGGTTGTTGTTAGTAATGACGTGTCGATTATTATGCTTCATTATCCTACGAAGCACATATGTAAATGTGTAATTATGTACAATATATGTTCGTATGTATTTAGTTGTGGTCTTAAGCATGTAAGTGCTCGTATGTGCATACATGCTCATTATGTATGTATATACTCATATTTAATGGCGCACGTTGCTCATACGCCACGTGTGGTCATATAAATAAAAGGAAAACTTATGTAACACATGTTGCAAGGTACATTAAATGCTAGTGTTGACATCTTCTATTTCGGCATTCAGCACGCTTAGCATATAAATAAAAACTTAAAGTAGATTCCTGAGACTTTGACCTTAACTATGTACAAGGAAATATGTATGTATCTACATTAGACCGTATCAAGATGTATGGACAACAAAAAAAATTAATTTC